ACTGAAGGCTCTCAAGATTTTCACTGGGAGTACTGGGAAAGAAGCACTGTATCTTTCTGAGGCCCCGGGTAGGGCTAAGACAGCCATCTTGATTTCACTTGGAGAGAATAAACCTGAAAATAAGGCCACTGTGGAAGAAAGCAGAGACAACTAAGAGAGTCCTATAATAATTTTCCTTTTCTGCTTGAGTTCTAATTGTATTTCTAGCACTTGCAATTGTGAGAGGGCTAAAAATATAACAGAGCTCCTCTTAATTAAGTTGAATTATAATATTTTATTCTAATATAGTTTTTCTTTTTTCTTCTTTTTTTTTGAGACAAAGTCTCGCTCTTGTCCCTCAGGCTGGAGTGCAATGGCACGATCTCAGCTCACTGCAATCTCTGCCTTCTGGGTTCAAGTGATTCTCCTGCCTCAGCCTCCGGAGTAGCTGGGATTACACGAGCCTGCCACCACACCTAGCTCATTTTTGTATTTTTAGTAGAGATGGGGTTTCACCACGTTGGCCAGGCTGGTCTCAAACTCCTGATCTCAGGTGATCCGCCTGCCTCGGCCTCCCAAGGTGCTGGGATTACAGGCGTAAGCCATTGCGCCCAGCCTCTAACATGATAGTTCCAAGTAACTTTAATCCCTTCATTTTGCTTTGTCCCTAAGCATATGTTGGTATTAGCTGAACAAAGTGAAAAAGACCACTAATCAACTGATGAACTGCTCTGGACTCCCTAACTGCTAGCCATCAGAAGTTGCTTCTGAATAATAAAGAGAGATCTCCTTGGATGAATGCTGTTAAAGGATTACAAGACAGCTGATGATTTTGTTATCTTCCTTATTCTTCTTAAATTGTTCAATGGACCAGTCAAATAATCAGTTAAAAATATTACAAAACCAGTAATAGAAACCTGAATCCTTGGGCTGGGCCTGGTGGCTCATGCCTGTAGTCCCAGCACAGTGGAGGTGGAAGCAGACAGATCACTTCAGTCCAAGAGTTTGAGACCAGCTTGGGCAACATGGTAAAACTCTGTCTTTACAAAAAAAATACAAAAGTTAGCTAAGCATGGTGGTGTGTGGCTGTGGTTACAGCTACTTGAGGTTTCAGTGAGCCAAAATCATGCCACTGCACTCCAGCCTGGACAACAGGGTAAAACCTTGTCTCAAAAACAACAACAAAAACCTCACAGACATCTGAATGATTTCCTAGGTCTAGAAAATAAATGAAGGAGTTTTTATATGTCATGAAAATTAACCTTTATTTATTTATTTAGAGAAATGTTGTGTTTAATGGTAAAGCTTAGCACACCCCACCAGCACCAGGAATGGCATGAAGTTGCAGCTGCAGGCACAGGCAGGTGACCCCCACGGAGCCTAACATGGTGAAGAGGATGAAGAAGGAGACCATAAAACAGAAGAGAAGAGCCCCATGGCCTCAGACAGGGCAAAGCCCAGAATGGCATAGGAGAAGAGTTGCTGCTTGAGAGACAGGTTCCTGGCATAGCCAATAATCAAGATGCCAAACACCGCTCCAATGCCAGCCCCTGAACCAGCCACACCAACTGCAGCTGACCCAGCACCAATAAACTTGGCTGCTGTGTCAATGTCCCGGGAGACAACACTGGCCTGGAACTCCTGTCTGGCCACCTGGAACGGGGAGTTGCTGTAGGAAGGCTGTTTAGATGAATTTTCTGGGCTATTCAAGAAGGAGGTAGACACAGGCCTGATTAGACCCCTGGTACAACAGCAGATCAGGGCTGGAGAAATGAGTAGTACCCCGGTGGTCTGCATTTTTTCAGTCTCCCATCTTTAGCCCTTGGTCTAAGTGCTCAGCTTCTTCTACCCCGAAAATTAACCTTTAAAGTTATAAAACACTCATTTTTTTTGTTTTTGTTTTCTTTAATAGGGCCTTTTTTTCCCCCTCCGTGGAGATGGGGGTCTCCCTATGATGCCCAGACTAGACTTGAACTTCTGGGCTCAAGTGATCTTCCTGCCTCAGCCTTCTAAGGAGCTGGGACTACAGGCATACTACTGTGCCCAAAAGACATGTTTTATGTACTTTGCTTTTACTTGAAGCTTTATAAAATATTAACTGAAAGATTTCTTCTTCAAAGATATGTACTTTCTATATATGGATTATACTGGTGATACGTTAGCAGAGATACATACTCATTTATGAAGTGATATCCCAATTTGGTTCATAGACAGATCCTCCTTTCTTTCTTCCCTCCCTCCCTCTCTTTCTTTTTCTTTCCCCCTTTCTTCTTCTTCTTCTATTTTTTAACTTTCCCATCCTCAGACAGTTTCAGACTTTTTTTTTTGAGACAGTGTCTGGATCTGTCACCCAGGCTGGAGTGCAGTGGCACAATCTCAGCTCACTGCAACCTCCGTCTCCCAGGCTCAAGTGATTCTCCCACCTCAGCCTGAGACTACCAGTACACACCACCATGCCAGCTAGTTTTGTATTTTTGGTAGAGATGGGGTTTTGTCATGCTGCCCGGTCTTGAACTCCTGAGCTCAAAGCTACCTACCCGCCTTGGCCTCCTGAAGTGCTGGGATTACAGGCGTGAGCCACCGTGCCTGGCCTCATAGACTTTTTATCTGTGTGTTTAATAATAAAATTCTCTAACAGAAAGTGCTTACATTGGCTTGATACTGTTCCAGAATCACATGACCTGGAAACTCTGGTTCTGGAACAGTTGCAAATCGCCGAATAACAACTAACAGCATTTCAAGGCCAGAAAGACGGAGCTGGTCACTGTGATCTGTGGCAGCCATAAAAGCCATGCGAATTAAGTCAGCAAGATGCAGCACCAAAAAGTCATCTATAAGATTAAAAAACATATTGGGAGAAAAAAAGATTAGAAAACATAAAAAAAATGTGCTGGAACTAAGACTTACATTAAGTGATAATTTTTCCTCCTTTAATTTTATAACCTAGACTTTAAGTACCTCTGACTTGAAATACTGTTTTTACTGTTTGTTAAATAGAGACTTTAAAGCTGGATTTAATGTACACTGTAAATACACACAAAAAAAACTGTCCCAAAGCTAGTAAGTATTTATAGCTACTCAGGGCAGAATTAGCATTTTTTAAGAGTCCTAATAGTATCTTCAATAAAATTTTGTTCAGATTTTATGATAAAAGTACATTAGTTGGTACAGAGGAGACTTTGGGCTTTGATTAATTAAGCAGAAATTTATCCTCTTTATGTGAAGTTGAAGCTAAGACGTAATGTTCCTTTAAAAAAAAGTTGTATGTGGCTCTTTATATGAACTACAATATCTTATTTTTACATATATTGCCAAATATACAAATAATGGGAGTATAAAAAACATTTCTAGCTGCAGAAATGATAAATGGGAATTCCTTTAATTCCTACAACACATTGTTTGGTATAATATACCTCCTGTGGAGAGATATAAGAAAATCATTTAACAGAAGAAATCAACATATCTTAGTAAATGCCAACTACAACTTTAACTGGGAGCACAGGAATCAGTAAGTATCTATAGCATGTATGTTTTGCAACTGTAAGTATCTAGCACAGTGCTCTTCACAAGAGACTCAATAAATGCATACTTAAAAAATAATTAAACCAGAGATACCTAATTCATACTCAGACTGGCAACAGCAACATTTTGCTTTGTAATTCTTTTGTCTGGTAAAGAACACTTTTAAGGAATTTAGAAATATGAACTGTGGACAGGTGTGGTGGCTAATGCCTATAATCCCAGCACTTTGGGAGGCTGAGGTAGGAGAGTCACTTAAGCCCAGAAGTTTGAGACCAGCCCAGGAAACATAATAAGATCTCATTTCTACAGAAAAGTTAAAAAATTAGATGGGGATGGTGGTATATGCCTGTTGTCCCAGTTACTCGGGAGGCTGGGGTGGGAGGATTGCTTGAGCCTGGAAGATTGAGGTTACAGTGAGCTGTGATCATGCCATTGCACTCCAGCCTGGGTGACAGAGCGAGATGCTGTCTCAAAAAAAAAAAAAAAAAAAGAACAAATATATATTGTATCTTTGAACATATTAGCTTAAGTGAATTTAAAAAATCAGACATCAAACCATAAAGACAAACATAAATAGGTAAAAATAATACAGCTGAACAGTAAGAGGTGATCAAAATGGTCTTACAATCAGGTTTACTTAACATTGAGAAAAGTTCAAATGTTTTCTAGTTATAACAGATTATAATATCTACGATATTAAAATAATCTATAAGCAAAAACTGGCCCAAGTTACAAACCAGGAAATAATTTTTGAGAACTAGTAAATGTTCATACTAATTCCCAAGAACCAATTATTTTCTATAAACTTAATGCATTGCACATGCTCATTAAAGTGAATACCAATATAAGAAGCTTAACCATTACAAACATATTTAAACATGAAGTGATGTGATCACAGCTCACTACAAGCTCAAGTGATCCTCCTGCCTCAGCCTCCCAAGTAGCTGGAACTATCAGCGCATGCCACCATGCCCCACTAATTAAAAAAAATTTTTAATAGAGACAACATTTCATTATTGCCCAGGCTGGTTTCAAACTCCTGGGCTCAAGTGATCCTCCTGCCTCAGCCTCCCAAAGTGTTGGGATTGTAGGTATGAGCCCCTGTGTCTGGCTAGTTTCATTTTTAAAATAATAAAACCGTAAGCAGACAGCACTTTTACATATATCATTTGGTGTTTTCATCACTATGTCACTTACTTCTTGAATCTTTTTTTTTCATTTCTTGTGCTAAAGCAATGTCAAAATGTGCACTGCTAGCATTCTCACATTGGTTAATTATCCTACAGACACACTCAGCAGCAAAGACTCTAGTAGCCCATCGAGGATTGGTAAAAGGATGGGATTTTTCGTCATGTCTGGTGGTCAGGACTGAGGCATCATCCCCTTTATCTCCTTCTTCTTCTTGCATTGTATCCACACAAGTTATAGCTGTACAATCTTTTATAAAAGGAGAACATATGTAATTATAATCAACTGAAAGATATATATATCAAAAGGAACACAAAAACGACTCCAAATTCAGACTAGAATTGCTCAATTATCAATTGCTACTGATCAATCATCTTTTTATTAACATCAAATAATTAGGTCTAATAACTACAGACAACTACAGTTGTCTAAAGGAGACACTCTAACAACTGTTACAGGTCAAAATGACAAAGCTGTCAAATTATACTCAAAATAAAAAACAAACACAATAGTAGATACTGAAATAATTATCAATCCCCTGCAGGTAGATGGATGTACTTAAGGAGACTCAAAAGTAGGGCGTGTGGGTGGGATACACTGGGAAGGCTGTTTTAACACTGGAGCCTTGTATGGATTTCAGGAGGTTCTTGAATCCACTGAAATTGTCTCAAAATATTTTTCTTAGGATAGACTCATTGCTATCATTACAGTATCAAAATTGTACCGATAGCTGGAGTCACCGAGTAGTGAATTATCTCCTCTACTTATTAACTGTTAAATTTACAAACTGTTTAACAACTGAAAATGGAACTAATGCTATGAAACAAAGCAAACTGGTTTTCTTGTATTATCCTGTATGTCAATATTTTTTTACATGTTAGAATACCAAAGATGTCACAAATAAAGTTATGGTCAAGTTAACACAGACTGGAAGGTGTTTTCCTGAGAAGGTATGGAACCAAACCACAGAAGATGAAGAATTAATGGCAAGATAAAATTGAGCGAGCTCAGGGAGCATGAATGCAAAATTTAAAAAAGATAAGTGAGACACCAGAAAAACGTAACCAGTCTATCTATGCACACACATATTTTCTTTCTCTTTTTTTTTTGAGACAAGATCTTGCTCTGTTACACAATCATGGCTCACTGCACCCTCGAACACCTGGGCTCAGGCGACATTTTCTTTTAAAGAAGTCCTTGCAATTTCTTGAGTAGTGGGGAACAGAAGAGAAAATTAGAAAAATAAAATATGTATAGCGTAATAGTTGAAACAGCCAGTGTAAATTATTGGAAGAGGGACCAATAAGAATGAAGATAGACAGAGGAGAGAATACAAAACATTCCAGGAATTTGATGTTAACTTTTCTCCTACCACACGATTCAGACATGAGAGCTACATTAAATTCTAAGGCTTGGGCAACTGAGTTGGGAGGACTGAAGTATAGTGGAAAGCTTGCGGATTTTAAAAGTTATGTAGGCGTAGGACTGAATCTGTCTTATGTCCTCAGGCAGGTTACCTCTCCAGGCCTATTTTCTCTTCTATAAAATAGAATAAAATTGCCTATGCATAGGATGGGTTAAAGGCTTAAATCAGATAAATTATGTACAGTTCTTAGAAAAGAACTGTTTTTTTTCTTTTTTCTTCCTCTCATTTATTTTCTCTCTTATCCCAAGGATACGAATTTTAAATATTCAAATATACTTTCTCATAAACAATTATCTTGTATTACTAAAGACATTAGGGTAATAACACTGTTTTCTAATACTACTTGAAATTAACATTATTGTATGTAGTGAAACTGGCTTGCTCAAAATGTCATAACTTTGTGTAATTTTCTCTTATGGTGACTAAGTAATTTCATATGGTGCGAGGGGTGGGGTGGGTATGTATGAATGTATGTATGTATGTAGAGACAAGGTTTCACTTTATTGCCCAGGCTGGAGTGCAGTGGTATGATCTTGGCTCACTGCAACTTCTGCCTCTTGGGCTCAAGCAATCCTCCCATCTTAGCCTCCTGCATAGCTGGGACTACAGGTGTGAGCCATCAGGCCCAGCTAATTAAAAATTTTTTTTTTTTTGTAGAGATGGTGTTTTTCCACGTTGCCCAGGGTGGTCTCAAACTCGTGGACTTGAGCAATCTGTCTGCCTCAGCCTCCCAAAGTGCTGGGATTACAGGGGTAAGCCACTGCACCTGGTCTCAAATATATATCTTGCATGTATGAAAAGAAATGATGGGGACAATATAAATCAAGTCATACCTTTTAGAGCAGAAATAACTCTACTTTTTAGTTTGCTTTATATAGGAAAGTCATCTAAGACAGCCAAAAGGAAAAAGCAGGTTTAAGTATTGGATTTATATTGTTCAAATTAAAGAGAATTCTAAAACACTGGAAATATAATCTTCATTTGAAGAAAAGCAATAATCAGACAATCAGAATCCAGCTAGTTAGACAAGACTGATGAATTCTCAGTGGTAAACAATTTTATGTAAAGTTTTAAATTTCAATTTTATTATTTTAACTGTTAATGACCAATACTTACCAGCTGATGCAGCAAGTACATCTTTACAAAGTTTTAACCAGAGGGAGAGTTTTTCCACTGCCATAGATGTAAGCATATAATTTAAAGTCTCTTTGATATCATGGCATAATCTCTCATCTGTCTCTTTGTCTAGTAAGATCAATAATGCCCCCTCAAGGCCGACTTCTCTGATGTTAGCATCTGACAAGAAGAAAATCAACTATTGAAGTAACACAGAAAACAAAACTACCATATCACAAGCTCACACATTCAGTAGTTATTCAAATACTAGATGAAAATATATCTTAAAGAACTAGCCCAAATACTGTGCTTTAATCTAGTGAGATCCATTTTAGTTCACACTTGAATTTTGGGATTATTCATGACCCTATATAGCTGTAATTTATGTAATGTCATTAAAAAAAGTATTAATATGTTATTATTAATATGTTTGCTTAATCAGGTAAAAAGTTTTACCCAATTAAGTGTCCAATACTTATAAAACTTTTTTTTTCTCTTTATTTGAGATGGAGTTTCGCTCTTGTTGCCCAGACTGGAGTGCAAGGGCAAAATCTCGGCTCACTGCAACCTCTGCCTCCCAGGTTCAAGCGGTTCTCCTGCCTCAGCCTCCCTAGTAGCTAGAATTACAGGCACCCGCCACCATGCCCAGCTAATTTTTTGTATTTTTAGTAGAGATGGGGTTTCACTACATTGCCTAGGTTGGTCTCGAACTCCTGACCTGAGGCGATCCACCCGTCTCAGCCTCCCAAAGGGCTGGGATTACAGGTCTGAGCCACTGCACCCAGCTCAATACTTATAAATTTTATTCAGTGCTTATTTATTTATTTTTTCCTTTTGAGACAGAGTCTCACACTCTGTCACCCAGGATGGAGTGAAGTGGTGTGATCTCGGCTTACTGCAACCTCCGCCTCCCAGGTTGAAGCAGTTCTCCTGTCTCAGCCTCCTGAACAGCTGGGACTACAGGCGCCCACTACCATGCCCTGCTAAGTTTTGTATTTTTAGTAGAGACAGGTTTCACCAGTGGTCAGGCTGGTCTTGAACTCCTGACCTCAGGTGATCCGCATACCCAGGCCTCCCAAAGTGCTAGGATTACAGGCATGAGCCACCACGCCTGGCCCAGTATAATTATTTTCTAATTTTAAATAAACATAATTAAGTTTTCCTTATTCTGGTATAAAGCTTTAAAATATATTAATGTGAGAGTAAAGCCCAAACAGAAAACAACCACTATATGGAAAACACTGTTTAATTACTACAACTAAGCTATTGGGACTACTGAATAAACATATATCACTATACAATATTCTTACTACAAAGTAATACCTCAAAGGGGAAATACAAGCCTTGATCTAGCATCTACTATTACCTTTAATTCTGAAAATGCCAAACAGACAAATACATTTTCTCTTGAAGAGTTAACTCATCTAGCATTTATGAAAGTATGTAGATTTGAAAGGTTATATTATTAGTAGGCTATTCTATTTTATTTATTTATTTTTTAGAGACAGAGTCTTGCTCTGTCACCCAGGTTGGAGTACAGTGGCACAATCTCACTGCAATCTCTGCCTCCCGAGTTCAAGCAATTCTCCTGCCTCAGCCTCTCCAGTAGCTGGGATTACAGGCATGTGCCACCATGCCCCCCCTCAAAAAAAGCTAACTTTTTTGGTATTACCTTGTAGAGACGAGGTTTCACCATGTTTGCCAGGCTGGTCTTGAACTCCTGACCTCAGATCCACCTGCCTCAGCCTCCCAAAGTGTTGGGATTATAGGCTTGAGCCACTGTGCCTGGCCTTTGTGGGTGTTTTGTTTTGTTGGTATTAGGCTATTTTAAAAGAGAAATTATCTTTCAAAGATCAGAAAGAGGTGATACAAATGTTTCAGATTAGGGATCTAAAAAGATATAATGGCTAAGGTAATGTGAGTCACAACTGGATCTTAGATTTAGGTGGTGGTGAGGAGGTGAGGAATCATAAAGGACATTTTTTGGATGACTAGGGAAATGTGTGTGAGGGCTGTAAATCAATATTGATTTTCTTAGGTGTGTGATCATGTACGGGTGTGTCCTTCACATTAGTCCATTTTCACACTGCTATAAAGACATACCCAAGACTGGGTAATTTATTTAAAAAAGAGGTTTCAGGCCAGGCACGGTGGCTCACACTTGTAATCCCAGCACTTTGGGAGGCTGAGGCAGGTGGATCACTTGAGCCCAGGAGATCAAGACCAGCCTGGGCAACAAAGTGAGACCCCATCTCCACAAAAAACACACAAAAAAATTTAGCTGGGTGAAGTGACATTCATTTGTAGTCCCAGCTACCAAAGAGGCTGAGGTGGAAAGATCACATGAGCCTGGAAAGTAGAGGCTGCAGTGAGCCCAGGTCGTGCCACTGCCCTCTAGCCAGGGCAACAGAGAGAGACCCTGTCTCAAAAAAATAAATAAATAAAAGAATTATGCCAAATCTAGCCTGGATGATAGCATATCTGTTTACAACACAGTTTACTGAATATTTTAAGTCTACTGTTAAGACCTACTGCTCAGGAAAAAAAAAAAAAAAAGATTATTTTCAAAATATTTCTGCTCACTGACAATGCGCCTAGTCATCCAAGAGCTCTCATGGAGAGGTACAAGGAGATAAACGTTGTCATGCCGGTTAACACAATATCCATTCTGCAGATTAAGGAGTCATTTTGACTTTCAAGTTGTCTTATTTAAAAAATACATTGTAAGGCTACAGCTGCCACAGACAGATTGATCTGGGCAAAGTAACTGAAAACCTCCGGAAAGAATTCATCATTCTAGATGGTTTTTAGAGATGGAATCTACTCCTGGTGAAGATGCTGTGAACACTGCTGAAATTACAACAAAGGGTTCAGAATATTACGTGAATTTAGTTGATAAAGTGGTAGCAGGTTTGAGAGAATTAATTCCAGTTTTCAAAGTTCTACTCTAAGTAAAATGCTATCAAAAAGCATTGCATGTTACAGAGTAATCTTTCATGAAAGGAAGTCAATGAATATGGCAAACTTCATTGCTGTCTTATTTTAAGAAATTGCCGGCTGGGCGTGGTGGCTCATGCCTGTAGTCCCAGCACTTTGGGAGGCCGAGGCGAGTGGATCACGAGGTCAGGAGATCGAGACCATCCTGGCTAACATGGTGAAATGCCATCTCTACTAAAAATACAAAAAATTAGCCAGGTATGGTGGCGGGCGCCTGTAGTCCCAGCTACTCAGAGGCTGAGGCAGGAGAATGGCAGAAACCCGGAGGCAGAGCTTGCACCACTAGGCCGAGAGGGCGTCACTGCACTCTTGCCTGGGAGACAGACCAATACTTTGTCTCAAAAAAAAAAAAAAAAAAAAAAGAAAAGAAATGGCCAAAATTGCCACAGCCACTCCAAACCTTTAGCAACCGCCACCCTGATTAAGTAGCCATCAACACTGAGGCAAGACCCTCTACCAGCAAAAATATTATGACTCACTGAAAGCTCAGATGATGGTTAGCATTTTTTAGCAATAAAGAATTTTTAAATTAAGGTATGTACATTGCTTTTTTAGCCATAATGCTATCTTACACTTAGCAGACTACAGTATAGTACAAACATAATTCTGATATGCACTGGAAAACAAAAAAATTCCTGACTTGCTTTAATTGCAGGGTCTGGAACTAAACCCACAATACTAGGTATTATGTATACGTATGCCTGAATAGCAGCCCAGCCATGCTGATCTATGCAAGTTGAAGCAAAAAATTTGTTTTTGTTTTTGTTAGAGACAAGGTCTCACTATGTTGCTCAGGCTGGCCTTGAATTCCTGGGCTAAAGTGATCTTCTCACCTCAGCCTCTAAGGAAGCTGGGACTACAAGTACATGCCACCACAACTGGCTCAGCTCCCTAAACATTTTAATGTAAGAATAAAACTGTTACTTAAAGAACTGTTATTGATAGTAAAATATATTATGGATCTAAAAACTTAAGATACTGAAAAGCTCTGTGAAGTTTATGACTTTCTAAAAGTATGACAGTACTTTGAAAACTATACACACAAATGATTTTTTTTTTTTTTTGAGACAGAGTCTCACTCTGGTGCCCAGGCTGGAGTGCAGCGGTGCAATTTCGGCCCACCACAACCTCCCCCTCCTGGGTTCAACCAATTCTTGTGCCCCAGCCTCTCAAGTAGCTGGGACTACAGGCGCATGCCGCCACACACAGCTAATTTTTTATATTTTTAGTAGAGATGGGGTTTTGCCATGTTGGCCAGGCTGGTCTCGAACTCCTGACCTCAGGTGATCTGCCCACCTTGGCCTCCCGAAGTACTGGGATTACAAGTGTGAGCAACTGCGACTGGCCAGAGTGTAAGATAATTACTGGTTTTTTTTGGAGTCAGTGTTTTGATCTGTTACCCAGGCTGCAGTGTGGTGGCATAATAACTCACAGAAACCTCAAACTCCTGGGCTCAAGCAATTCTCTTCTCTCAGCCTCCTGATTAATTAGTAGCTGGGACTACAGATGTGTACCACCACACCTGGCTAATTTAAAATTTTTTTTGTAGAGATGGGGTCATGCCATGTTGCCCAGGGTGTTTTTTTAAATATATATATACACACACACACACAAAATATATATACATATGTATAAAATATATATATATTTAAAAATAGAGATGAGGTCTCACTATGTTGACCAGGCTGGTCTTGAACTCCTGGCCTCAAGCTGTCCTCTTATCTTGGCCTCCCAAAGTGCTGAGATTACAAGCATGAGCCAGTGTGTCTGGGCCCAGACTGTTTTTGAACTCCTGACCTAAGACAGTCCTCTCGCCTTGGCCTCACAAAGTGCTTAAGATTACAGGTGTGAGCCACCACGCCTGGCCTATTATTACTACTATTTTTGTAGGCTAGCAGTTTCTTTGAATTCATATGCAAATTCAGGTTATTCATATAATAGTTTTAAAATGAAGTGATATACACTTAAATCCCTACTGGTTAAGAAATCCTTTAATTCAGCTCTAAAATGTAAAAGAAGGGGCATTAAAAACTCTTTAACTTGTAGCAGACGTAACTATAATAAATTTTATGAAAGTGAGATTCTGCAGCAAACAGAGGCATGTGTGATAAATTATTTAAGGGCTAATCACATTTCATTCGACTGCTGTGAAAAAACTTGCTCTAGATCATTGGCTCTCAATCTTTAGTACAGTCATGCATGCCTTAATAGGATTACGTTCTGAAGAATGTGTTGTTAGGCAATTTCATTGTCATGTGAATATCATAGAGTGTACTTACCCAAACCTAGATGGCACAGACTACACACACATAGGCTACATGGCATAGCCTATTACTCATAGGCTACAAACCCGTAGAACAACTTACTGTACTGGATACTAGAGGCAATTATAACACAATGGTAAGCATTTGTGTATCAAAACATAGAAAAAAAAGATATGGTATTATAATCTTATGGGACCACTGTTGTAAATGCAGTCTGTTGTCGACCAAAATGCCATTATGTGGCACACAGCTACACTAACATAGGGACTGTAAAAATATGGATTTAAAAATACAGATTGCCAGGTAATACTCCCAGATTTCTGGTTCAGTAGGTCTGGGATGGGTCCCAATCTGCATTTCTAACAAGTTCCCAGGTGAGGTATACACTGCTGGTTTGAAAACCAGTTTGAGAACCACTGCTCTAAACCAGTAACATCAGTGGTTGGAATAACTGTTAGCAATTCTTTCTTGTAGCAGGTTTAAGACACATTAACTTTTAAACTGTTTCAAAACTCATGTATATAAGGAAAATTTAAAATAAAAATAATCACTGGACCTGGACATAATCTTGATCAAGAGAATTACCTGGAGTCAACTCTTCTCTGCTATCCTTAGCAAGCATAACAGCATGTTCTGAAACTTCAGCTGCTTCTCTCTGTACAAGCTGACGTAAGCAAGCCAGTACTGCTCTTCTCAGTAACAAGTAGGGGCTATAAAGATTCACCTGAAAAATACCATTTAAGGAATGACAGAGCTAAAATTCTTGTTGGCACTCAGTGAGCCTAACAGATATTCACTGGACCCCTTCCTGATTCTGTCCAGCCCATCAGTGGGCTGGACACAATTTATAAATACATAGGAACTTCTTGAAACTATTCTAGAATATATTTCTGATGATATAACTTAGAAACAGCTTAATAGGTAATATGTGTACTAGATTATGCACTACTCATAAATCTAAGCAAAAGTCTTTTGGCAGTGTCAGAAAGCAGAATTTATATGAGTAAACAGAGTTTTAAGAGAAAAAAAGAACTACAACGGAAAGGATTTTGTTGCAGTTCATACATTTGTGTTTATGCAGATATATTATAATGTTCTATCATTCTCTAAGCAGAAATTTATACAAATCCATACAGGCAATACAGCATATTGGTTAAAATGGAGGTTCTAGAGTCAAAACATCTCAATTTGAGTCCTAGATCCATCACTTACTAGCTGTGTGACCGTGGGCAAATTATTTAACTCCTCTAGAGTGCCTTAGTTTCCTCATTTGTAACACTACTGCATCTCTCAGGGCTATTGTGACATTAACACAAAGTAACACGCAAAGTGCTTACCACAGTACCTGCCAAATAGTAAATGTTAGTTATTATTAGTGTAGTCTCTTAACAATAATATTTTAATCAGAAAACATATAAAGTAAACGCATTTTCAAATAAAGGCAGAAAACATTCACCAAAAATGCTCTCTAGAGACAAGCATTACAGAATACCAAATTTATATATATCAATACATATTTATGTATTGATAGAATACATATATGTACACATCTTACAGATGCCATGTAAGTATCAATACGCTGTATCTACCCATGGCAAATAAGACTGGTAATATACTTCAGTTACAAGTTGAAGGTTAATGGATAAAAATTCTTAGTGATTTCATATATGAAATAAAGTTGACATTTTAAATTTTGTACTAACTATGAAAGTAAAGATCAGTTTGGCATGGTCTACAAAATAAATATGTATATTATGGTAGTGATCTGCAAAGCAAAATTTGAGAAATAATGGCATAATTCTATAGTGATCTTTAGATATGGCATATGTGGGAAAAACAGGACTGAAGTAGATGAAGTTTTGTAAAGAGCAGAGGCTACATTTTGGGAGGAAATAAAAGGTAGGTAGTAGGAGCTATTAAGAATATGTAAGAAGAGTGTCAGGTGTGGTGGCTCATGTCTGTAACGCTAGCACTTTGGGAGGCTAAAGTGGGCGGATCACTTGAGGTCAGGAGTTCAAAACCAGCCTGGCCAAAATGGTGAAATCCTGTCTCTGCTAAAAAATACAAAAATATTAGCAAGACATGGTGGCAGGTGCCTGTAATCCCCACTACTCGGGAGGCTGAGGCAGGAGAATTGCTTGAATCTGGGAGGTGGAGGTCCCAGTGAGCCGAGATCATGCCTCTGCACTCCAGCCCGGGCTGGGCATGATGGCTCACACTGAGGGAGGCCAAGGCAGGTGGATCACTTGAGGTCAGGAGTTTGAGACCAGCCTGGCCAACATGGTCAAGCCCTGTCTCTACTAGTAATACAAAAATAAGCCAGGCATGGTGGCACACACCTGTAGTCCCAGTTACTGGGGAGGCTGAGGCAGGAGAATCGCTTGAACCCGGGAGGCAGAAGTTGCAGTGAGCTGAGATTGCACCACTGCACTCCAGCCTGGATGACAGAATGAAACTGTCTCAAAAAAAGAAAAAAAAAGAAAAAAAGAATATACAAGAAGAAACACATGCAAAGAGAGTCAAATTCTACATTTTATCAGAAGCCAAGAAACAGAACAAATTTGTGCATCTATCATTGAGCAGCTTTTTTTTGTTTTTTTGTTTTTTGTGTTTTGTTTTTGAGACAGAGTATCACTCTGTTACCCAGGATAGAGTGCAGGAATAGCTTTGTAAGGATGTTCTGTTATACCTTCAAGCTGTATTATGAACCCAAAAGTGGATAGAGAGGAATGCCATTCATAGAAAAGTCTCAAGGTATAATGTAATCCCATGTTTAGAAACTATATTGTTAGCAGGTTAGGATAACAGAGAAGTTAAAATATAAAAAGATTACATAAAATATAAAAATATTCATTCCCAAGATTACTGTTGTATTTAACAATAATGACCAAAAAAGCACTTTACAAGACAATTTTAAAGAAAAGTTAATAAATCTACTAGTTATTTCAACTGGAGTTTTACAAGCATATAATACAAAGCAGGTGCAGCATTTATTCAGGCTAGTCAAACATTTTTTAGAAAAAGCATGCTTAGAAGTACCCTTTACTTGTTTGGTAGAAAAAAGATTGAAGGCTATCACACAAAGTAAAATAGGAGGCTTAATGTCTCCATGTCATTCTCCAGCATTTATATTGGGAAGAGGAATACAGTGGCTTAAGGCAAACAAACAAAGCAGGCAAAATACAGAAATTAAATAAAACTGTAACTACAGTTATTTTCTGAAATGAATATACTAAATAAAAAGGAGACCAAATTTAGTGCAAGGAGTGAGCGCACCAGCTGGAGAAGGTTAGGAAGGATTTGCTTATATTGGTATCAAATAAACACCACGAAACATGCTACACATACTGGACTTAGCATTAATGGTTCGCTTAAACAAAGAGATGCAGAGGAAAACAAACATCTACAACCAAAAAAATGACACAAAGAAACAGCACCGCAAAACTCAAAAAAAGTTAGGAATCAAGGGTCAGGGACCTACCAACACAGAATTATCCAACAAGATCTCCTGCACAAAAACAAATGACACACCAGTCATGACAAAACCAAAAGATAATTATTAGGATGACTTTGACAACAGTCAGCTAAGCATTAAAATATAAATGTTGATAGTTATCATTCAAATTGGCTTAGCTTCAGCTTAAAAATTCGCCACAAATATTTTATTTTCCAACAAAACGACTTGAGCCAAGTTCTTGAAAATAGTCAACTCAAGAACTCTAAGACATACATATATAATTTTAAAACGTACACGCGATTAATTTTAGGTTTTTCTTTGGAATCTCTGATTAAGCTTCAGTATCGAACCCATTCAAGGCGACATGAGCGTGAGAGGAGTGTTCTGGATTGCATTCACATGAAGCAGGTGTCCAGCAAGAGGCAAAGTTAATGGTTTACCTCATCAGAAGTTAATTATAGTTTAACTCTTAGAAGCCAAGTTTTGAAACTAAGAATATTCAGAATTGCTAGTGTAGCTAAGGCCAAGTTCAGTATGGAAGTTAAAGAGCATGCAGTTAGAAGAAAATTCCTTCCTGTAAGACTTTTGCCTAATGATGAAATGCAATTTCCTTACTTTGGTGAATACTCTAAAATATAATAAATTCAATCTAATAAATTCAGAATAAATTACTAACCAAAATGTTGAGACACTAAATTAATATATTATAGTGACAATTTTTGACTATGATTGTGTATTTAAAAAATAATTTTACAGCTTGAATATTATGAGTTAACATACGATTTGTAACTGTTACTTCAGATTTTCTCACTTGCTCTGAATGTACCCAAAAGTCTGATAATATAATAATCTCTGTTCTTTTTCATGTGTAACTTTTTTTGATGCCTATTTTTTTTCCTGCAGTAATATGTACCCTTTTTTGATTTGGGAAAGGAAAAAACTTAGTAAGTTTGATCAGATTTTATTTATTTATATTTTTGAGACAGTGTCTTGCTCCATTGCCCAAGGTGAAGTGCAGTGGCACAATCATGGCTCACTGTTGCCTCAACATCCTGGGTTCAAGTGATCCTCCCACCTCAGCCTCCCAAGTAGTAATGGGACTACAGGTGCACACCGTCATTCCCAGGTAATTTTCTTAAAATTTTTTGTAGAGACAAAGTCTCACCATGTTCCCCAGGCTGGTCTCGAACTCCTGGGCTCAAATGATCCTTCTACCTTGGCCTCCCAAAGTGCTGGAACTACAGGTGTGAGCCACTGTGCCCAGCTGATCAGATTTTATTCATCATGAATTAATGGGTTAGTCTTGCTCTTCATTTCTCAATAAACTTTAGTTAATAAAAAAAATGTACCAGGTAAAGGAGAAATTTTAAAGGTAATTAATGGAAATCTTCTATAAGACAAGAAGTAAAAATGGCAGTATCACCAAATTTAAATGGAGAGTAAAAGATCAAATGCAAAGGAGCAAAAAATTTTTCCAATAACTGGTTTTAGGAATGGCTCTTCAAACACAAAAGTAATATTCCTGGGGAAGAATCCCTGAATGGTACAGGTAAAATCCTTTTCCTGTAAGTGCTGTTTTCCCTAAAATGATTGACCCAGATCTAAAAAAATACAGGAACAAAAGTTTCTATCAGAAAGTCAGTCACATTCTCTTTAAAGTTTTATCGGGCTACGCATGGTGGCTCACACCTGTAATCCCAGCACTTTGTGGGGCTGAGGCAGAAGGATGGCTTGAGATCAGAAGTTCAAGACCAGCCTGGGTAACATAGCAAGACCCTGTCTCTACAAAAAAGAAAAAAAGTTAGCTAGGTGTGGTGGTACATTTCTGTAGTCCTAGCTGCTTGGGAGGCTGAGGGGGGAGGATCACTTGAGCCTAGGAGTTCGAGGCTACTGTGAGCTATGATTGCACCACCGCACTCCAGCCTAGATGACAAAGTGAGACTCTGCCTCTAAAAAATATATAAATAGTTTCATAAGACTATCAGTATCAATAATTAATATAATAATATACTGTGTGTTGAAGACACATGTCAAGACAGCAAGGGCAACTACCATTATTGAGTACTAATTAAATGCCTGAGACGTGTGCCTTTACAAGCAGCATTTTGTGTAATCCTCATAGTTTGCAGACAAGGTAGCTGAGGCTAGAAGAGATTACGGGACTTCCCTAAAGGCACACAGCTAGAAGGTGGCAGAGTTGAGATAAGATCTATCCATAAGATCTACAAAGATAGTACGGAATAATGAAATGAGGACTGAAGGAGGAGTCCAGAAACCTGCAATGTAGATTTAGCCACCACTTAGGTGAGCTAGATGTGTTACTTTAAGTTATTTAACTTTTTGGTCTTCAGTTTATCTTTTTATTGAGAAGATTGATTTTAATAATGCAAACAACATTCTACAAAAGTAGGGATAATCTATATGACAGATTTTTAAGATTCTAAGGTTTTTCAAGCTCTGAAATGCTGCATATTTTGCCTTAAGCTTGAAAATGAAAGGTCTATATAATTTTCAACAGTCACGTTACTAATGGGAGTGTGCTACAAACACTGCAGGAGTAGAAAAAGTTGAAAAGCAATGGTGCCAATTTATAATTCCAAATGCAACTCAATTTTTGAGGCAAGTCCAGATAGAAACTGGTGACATGGTAAATCTTTTTTTTTTTATTTTCCTGAGACGGAGTTTCATTCTTGTTTGCCCAGGCTGGAGTGTCAATGGCACGATCTCGGCTCACTGCAACCTCCACCTCCTGGGTTCAAGCGATTCTCCTGGCTCAGCCTCCCCAGTAGCTGGGATTACAGGCGCCCACCACCACGCCCAGCTAATTTTTGTATTTTGAGTAGAGACGGGGTTTCACCATGTTGGCCAAGCTGGTTTTAAACCAACCTCAGGTGATCTGCCCGCCTTGGCCTCCCGAAGTGTTGGGATTACAGGCGTAAGCCACTGCGCCTGGCCAGGGGAAGTCTTAAAACCAATGACAATGAACCACTTCAAAGGAACTTCTGGTTGATGGCCTTTATCTTTCTACATTCAGTAGATACAATATTAGAAGCCAGATATTGATGTATATGTTGCTGGAATACTAAGGAAAAGTGTTATTTCTCCATCTGGGATGCAAAGAACTTTGTAATAACTCAGAATAGATGAAAAAGAAGAAAAAAAGAGACAGGTGACCACATGAAGTTTTGCATGTCCCACAGATTTACATAGTACATGGGACATTATAAGCACCCAATATATGTTTATTGATTTATGAATAAATATTCCAAATATCAATTTCAACATTAATGGGAGAAAAATGAATCAATATAAAAGAGATTTAGGAGCTGATTACATGAAAGCTGCCCCCTACTCTCCAAAAAGACTAGAACTGAGGGGAAATAGCTATGTATATAACATATAAATTTGTACATAGTCTAGAGGATAATTAAAATGTGTACTGGGATAAATCTAAGATTCAAATAAAAGAAACTAAGAACTGGTTTACAATTTTATACTCACACAGAGGCAGCTAACTAGGCTAGACAAGTTGACATGTCGTGGAGCAAACATATGAAGCTGCTGAAGGCAAGAGATGGCCTGAGCTTGAACAAGGCAGTCTGGGTTATCTTGCATTACTGCACAACCCAGTAGACAGGAGGCCCTTAAGGTAGAAATTGAAGTACTGTTACCTAAAATAAAAAGCAGAAAGCTTTTAATAATTGGCCTATAAAAACATTACTCTTTAAACATATATTACAGGTTTTAAAATTTACTTTCAGTTTTGAGCTTACAAAACTGTGACTTACAATTTCTTCTACAAAAATAGGGATAATCTAAGTGACAGGTTTTTAGATTATTCTTTTTTTTTTTTTTTTGAGACAGAGTCTCAGTCTGTCGCCCAGGCTAGAGTGCAATGGTGCCATTTCGGCTCACAGCAACTTCTGCCTCCTGGGTTCAAGTGATTCTCCTGCCTCAGCCTCCGGAGTAGCTGGGACTACAGGTGCACACCACCATGTCTGGCTAATTTTTTGTATTTTTACTACAGACAGGGTTTCACCATGTTGGCTAGGCTGGTCTCGAATCCTGAGCTCCAGTGATCCACCTGCCTCAGCTTCCCAAAGTGCTAGGATTACAGGTGTGAGCCACTGTGCCTGACCTACTTTAGTTATCCTTAATTTGAAAAGTTTATTGCAACACAAATTATTAGGCAAAGAAGAACCTAAGACTATCAGTAGGTTATACCAAATTTTCATAAAAAGTGGAATTAGAAATTGCCAATAAACTTAGCCTCGCTTGTATTAGTTAAGAATTACTTTCATGTATTATAATCATGTAATACTATGCAATTTGAACAGCTTGCAATATTTGAAATTTTGGACTTAGCCATTTATTTCTTAAAGAGAGATCAGAACTCTTTGGATGATTCTGCTTCATGTCTGTCATTTTAACTGTTAAGGAAGGTATCTTTAGGAGATACGTAATTGTCGAAATATTGTACTCTGTCTTTTCAAGGTAAGATAAATCAGGCTGAACGGCATTTATACATTCATTTAACAAAACATACAGCACCTATCATGTGCCAAGCATACAGACCACGAACTGAATTCATTTTTATGTGTATTATTTTTAATGTAAAACATCACAAAAGCAGCTATGCACACCTTGTAGCTCTGGACCTAACGTGGTAATAAGGGCATTCAAACAGCGACCAAGGCTTTGGTGAACTTCAGCATGAGTAGGAGGCACATTTAACAACAACATTATAATAAGAGAAAGGGTAGGTTCCACATGCACATAATACAGTGGGCCAGCAGAATCAATGATCAGTGATAGAGAATGTAATGCCCAGGTCTGTAATGACAAAGAAAAACAATTAAAAACATTACAGCAGCATAAAGAAACATAAAATACATTAAGTTGTTCTTTTGTTGAAGCAAGTAATAAAGTAACAGCAAATGTGTATGCTACTACTAATGCGGAAAGAGAAATGGAGGACTTCCAATTCAGAGGCAATCATCTAATTTAGAATGATATAGTCCATCATTAAGAATTGCAAGTAATAGTTGGTACTTTAGCTAACAATTTAAGAATTGCAAGTAATAGTTGGTACTTTAGCTAAGAGCTTGAATCAAATCTAGTTTGTTGAAAAACTTTATTGTTTAATCTATAGAAAGAATGAAAATTCAAGTTTTTAAAAAGATGCAACAAAATCTACAATTACATTCAACAATATGGACAAATCTCTTGAACATAATGTTGAGTGAAGAAAGCCAGACATAAAAGAATATATGTTGTATGATTCCATTTACATAAAGTACAGAAGCAGGCAAAACAAATTTATGCTGTTGCAAATTAGGATAGTGGTTATCCTTGGTGGGGGTAAGTAGTTAACTAGAAGACAGTATGAGAAGTGTGTATGGGGTATTGATAATGGGCTGTTTCTTGATTTCAGGTGGTGGTTACATAATGTACTGTTTGTACATAGATATGTACATTTATGACAGGTGCACACGCGCACACAGATACACACACACACACACACACACTATGGTTAAATGAAAAAAGACTGGCCATATACTGATAACCACTGAAGTTAGGTGATGGGTATAATAGATTCATTATAGTATACTTTCTAATTTTGTGTATGTTTTAATGTTAAATTAAAAGCTCTCTCTTCAGAAAATGAACTGAAAAAGTTTTATTCCTCTTATCAATGGATGTATAAGAAAGCTTACAGTACTTTAAACGCTGCAAAAATGAGCTTCTATTTGTTAGGTGAGAGACAGCAATCAAGAAAATTCAGAAATGACACTGGGAGCTGTGGAAAGTATATGAATTAATCAACAAAAAAGGTATTCAATATAAAACTAGGCACATTCAGAATAGACTTGTTGAAGAGAGAGAAGAATATAACAGAAGCAAAAAGTACTATATATAAAGACGGGTGAAAAATGGAAACCTTGTAAGTCAATTCAGTCAAGTACTAGATGAAGTGGAGGAGGCAAGTAGTAATATGGTAATTCAGAGAAGGAAAGCTAACTGGATTAAAGCTTGATGAGATGGTGGTTATACTGGATCTTAAAAGACTAAAAGATGTGGAATATCAAATAGGCATGTAAGGAGAGAAGAGAAAAAGAAAATAATGTAAATGTAGACATGAGAATGACATGTGGATAAATCATCTGTAGAAGTGAACACTTTGAAGTAATAACAGAAAACATCTATGGGGTCAGTTGATGGGACTGGAATAAAGAAGTTGATTCAAGAAGCAATAAGCACTTTGTCAAGCTTTTCTGCAGGGAAGTGGCAAGATGAAAATCTTTTAGGAAAATGAATTTAGCCTTATATCTAGAGAGAGTTGGAAAGAAAAGGACTAAAAATGTGACGAATTAGGAGGCTATGACAGTAATTCAGCACACATTAATAAGGGAGACAGATAAGATGACAGAAGGGGAGTAAAAGAACAGGAGAAATAAAAATCATTCCATATTTGATTAAGATAGGAGAATGATGATTTTATTGACAGAAATGGGTAAGATATGTACAACAATATGATAAAGTGGTTAAGAACAGGAGTTTGGAGTCCATGACTTGTGTTCTTGATCTGATTCCATGATTTATTAGCTTTTCAGTTGTGAGCAAGTTGCTTAGCTTCTTAAGCCTCAGTTTTATTTCCCCATAATGGGCTATACACCCTAATAAATTATTACGAGGACTAAGAGAATTACTATGAGACTTAGAAGAATGTATCGTAACACCTGGTACCTATTAAGTTCTTTAAAATAGTAGATGCTATTATTATTATTTAGTATTATTATTATTTTTTGAGATAGGGTCTGGCTCTGTTGTCTAGGCTGGAGCGTAGTGGCACAATCTGGACTTACTGCAACCTCTGTCTCCCCGGCTCAAGCCATCCTCCCACCTCAGCCTCCCGAGTAGCTGAGACCACAGATGCTCACCATCATGCCTGGCTAATTTTTGTATCTTTTGTAGAGATAGTGTTTCACCATGTTGCCCAGGCTGGTCTTGAACTCCTGAGCTCAAGCAATCCACCTGCCTCGGCATCCTAATGTGTGAGATTATGGGCGTGAGCCACCACTTCTAGCCCAGTGCTATTATTAAGATGGAACAGAGATACGTTTTCAGAAAAACACAATGAAATTGACTTCAGACATTCTGAGTGTGGGAGAAGATTTTAATTTTAAAAATCCATCAAGGTTAACAATGGCTTCCACAATTACTATGGGGGGAAAACCATATTCACAAATTATTAATGTTCAATATAAACACATTCTGCATCATCTACAAATCATGAATTTCAAGGGAAGTATCACATGAGGTACCCACCTGCACATCAGGGGAAGTGTTGTCCTGTGCCAAAGTATAAAGGATTCCAATACAAGAATTTAGGTGTTGAGAAGAACTTATTCCTCCTAAATACCTATGTAGGGACCCCAAGGCCAATGAGTGTCCTGTTCTGGTAACCACATCCCTTGCTGATTTCAATCTGTAAATATGAAAATAAAAATAAATGGTAATCACTGCAAAAGAAAAAGAACCCAAAAACTAATGCATGTACATTGTCACTTAGGCAAAACTTTTTATATGGATAATTGCAAAATTTAGAAATATATTTTTGGCTAACTAATAAAAAATTCTGAAGTAACCAAAAGGCCTCTTGCAAAGGAAAACATTTTGAATCAAAATGTCTTCATATTATTGATTAGTTTAGTATGAACAGTTTCAATGTCTTTCATATATACACATGAAGAAGGTTTTTAAGACAAACATTATTATTACTTTATCATTAAGTTACATTTTAAAAACTCAAATGCTGAGATACTTCAATTTCATAGAGTTTCAACTTAATTTTGATTTTAAAATTAAATAGGCCAGGTGTGGTAGCTCACGCCTGTACTCTCGGCACTTTGGGAGGCCAAGGCGGGAGGATCACTTCAACCCAGGAGTTTGAGATCAGCCTGGGCAACATAATGAGACCCTGTCTCTACTAAAAAAAAATTTGTTTTAATTAACTGGGCATAGTGCCACAAGCCTGTAGACCCAGTCACTTGGGAGGCTGAGGCTGGAGTATTGCTGGAGTCCAGGAGTTCGAGGCTGCAGTGAGCCACGATCACACCACTGTACTCCAACCTGGGTGACAGAGCAAGACCTTGTCTCAAAAATAAATTAAATAAAATTAAATATGAGAAGTTAACATTTATTAGGAATTTATTAGAAATTACTGTGTGCTCATTTAAGTGGTTTATATTTAGCCCTTCTTTAATACTCTCAACAACCCTGAAATTCATACTATTATCAGTTCCTGTTTATAGATGAGGAAACCAAAATAATAGCTCAAATAGCTCTCACAAAGTAACCAACTATCAAATGGTAGAGTTGGGATTAGAGCCAAGTTAATAACCTGACTCCAGACTTCAAATCAGACATACATATTGAGTAGACTCCAAGGTCAAAGTGCTATCAATACTACCACCACCATTCCTAATATAACTTATTATAGATATATAATACAACCACAAAGTTTTATTTGTAGGCTTTTTCCCCATATTACTTTAATATTTACTATCTCATTTACCTTAACATTCTTAAGTAGGTAGCGCAGTACCACCTGGAATAGAAGAACACTGGCTGAGAGGATTAAGTAATCTATTGAAAGTTATACAACTGATAGAAATGAAAGTACAGGCCGGGCACGTTGGCTCACGCTTGTAATCCCAGCACTTTGGGAGGCTGAGGCGAGCGGATCACAAGGTCAGGAGTTTGAGACCAGCCTGGCCAGCAAGGAAAAGACCCGTCTCTACTAAAAAAATACAAAAAAAGTAGCTGGGTGGTGGCATGTGCCTATAATCCCAGCTACTCGCGAGGCTGAGGCAGGAGAATTGCTTGAACCCAGGAGGCAGAGGTTGCAGTGAGCCAAGATCGTGCCATTGCACTCCAGCCTGAGTGACAAGAGCGAGACTTCATCTCAAAAAAAAAAAAAAAAAAGACATGAAAGTACCGTTTGTTTCCTTATCTGCAGCCTACAGTCTTTTTCCTGTAGTTTGTTCTTACTACTTATCATATATACGTTTTACATTATAAAACTGTATAAATATTTCACTATCCTAAAGTCCATCCCACTGATGATCAATTATATCACTCATATAGATTCTGATCTTTATTATATAAAGACTATAGCTGAAATAGTAATAGTTTTACGTGCCAAGATCAGCAGGCCAATTTTTATTTTCTTTATTTTAAAGCAGTCAACATTTGACAATTTTTCCTAGTTAAATCTCAGCATGAAGATCTTACTAGTTCCAACAAACCAGAAAGCTATACCCAGTTTTGAAACATAGCCCCTGAGTATTAAATAAGAAATTCACTTACTTGTCAAAGCTAACTTGAGCTAATCCAGCAGTAAAAGCTCCATCATCAAGCACTTGGGCTAATCTAGCCCACGCCTCTGCAGCTGCACATCTCAGCAAGGGGTTGGTACTTTCTAGGGCTCCCGTAACTAATGTTAGGGCAAATCTTTTCATTTCTTCTGGACCTAAACATCCCTTGGAGAGAGCCACGTACTGAAATATGTAAAGAACAACCCAAACTTACAATTGTAGTAAATTATCATATCCAGTTAGGAATGTATATTCTGGATAACCAAATCCAAATATGTTCATACTTGGATTACTACTTAAAAACAAATAAGAACACAAAAATCCACACTGATAATACATATATAATTCCTTTTTTTTTTTTTTAACAAAGCACTTTAGAATTTTAAACCTCCAGGCAGCAATATGGCAATCAATTATCATTAAGGTATAAATGGTTTGAAAGAACATTAACAGAGATGTCCACAAAATAAGCGACTAATGAAGTCTATCATATTTTACTGTACGTAGAAACGGTAAGTCATAAGTAACAACGAGCTGGATTTGGTCCACAGGCTATAGTCCATCAATCCCTGTCCCAGGATATCAGGATTGGTAGGTTAACGCATGGCTCTATGCAGAGATCATAGGTTTGATTTCTAACAAGTTTTATGTGGACAAAAAGTTAAAGGAGAATTCCAAATCCTGAAAACTTTTCATCAGGAGATTAAGAAAAATGAAGGAAAAAAGAGCATTTTAAAAACATCATCCTCCGACAAACTTCATTGGCCACAAATTTTTTAAAAAATGAAACAAACATTTAAATAAATAAATAAATAGAATTACCTTCAAGAAACTAGAAACTGAAGAGACAACATGTAACTGAACCACTTGCTGACGAGCTCCTTTTGTGTGCTTTATACTGTCCAAAAGCTGTTCCAATATAGGAAGCCTACAATCAGAAATAACAGGATTTAAAAGCAAAATGACTTTTTTTTTTTTTTTTTTTTGAGACGGAGTCTCGCTCTGTCATCCAGGCTTGAGTATATTGGCACCATCTCAGCTCACTGCAACCTCTATCTCCCTGGCTCAAGAGATTCTCTCACCTCAGTCTCCCAAGTAGCTGGGATTACAGGTGTGTGCTACCACATCCAGCTAATTTTTGTATTTTTAGTAGAGTAGTAGTTTCACCATGTTGGCCAGGCTGGTCTTGAACTCCTGATCTCAAGTGATCTGCCCACCTTGGTCTCCCAAAGTGCTGGGATTATAGGCGTGAACCACTGCCCCTGGCCTCTGAATACAATTTAAACTTCACACTTTAGGTTCTTTAAACTACTGCAGTAATTGTAAGTGTGAGAATGTACATTCCAATAACTGGAAAACTAAAATTTGAGATGATACCAACAAAAGTAGTCAATACTGATATAACTCCACAAAAATTTATATGTAACACATAGCCTCACAGAATTTGAGGCAGGGAGACTGCTTGAAGCTAGGAGTTCAAGACCAGCCTGGGCAACACAGTGAGATCTCTTATTTTACAAAAAATTAAAAAGTTAGCCAGGCATAGTGGCACATGACTGTAGTCCTAGTTACCCAGGAGGCTGAAGCAGAAGGGTCACTTGAGCCCAGGAATTCAAGGTTACAGTGAGCTATGATCATGCCACTGCACTCCACCTGGGTAACAAAGCAAGATCCTGTCTCAGAGAAAGAAAGAAGAATAAAAATGATTTGAAAAGTGCTAAAAAGGTAATGTTAAATGAAAAAAGCAAGGGTTAAAATTGTTTTACATATAGTATAGTCCAAAGTATATTTTCAAAGCATAGTTGGGGATTCAAAGAGCTATGCTGCTTCTGGCTAGCTATAGATGCAATCATAGCTCATTGCAGCCTCGACCTCTTGAGCTTAAGTGATCCTCCAGCCTCAGCCACTAGAGTACCTGGGACTATAGGAACACATTACCCACACCCTGCTAATTTTTTTTTTTTTTTTTTTTTTTAAAGAGATGAGGCCTCACTGTGTTGCTCAGGCTGGTCTTGAACTCCTAAGTTCAAGTGATCCTCCAGCCTCAGTCTCTGAAAGTACTAGGATTATAGGGTAAACCACTGTGCCTGGTCATTTTTCTTCTTTTATAACGTTTCTAAATCCAAATTTCATTATATACATGTACTAAAATTTATTCAACCACTCAACTACTGCTGAGAAAAATATTCCAATTTTCACAATTCTAATTAAGATAAATATAAACAATATTTCATGCCCTTATAGAACAGAGGTTTTAATTCCTTATGTCAAGATTAAATACATATAACCATAAAATAAACCACCCCATTTTACCATTAATTTCTCTCTAAAACATTGTTTCTATGCCCTATACTTCCTTTTCCCTTTTTTCTGCCTTTAAATGAGAAACCTGAAATATACTGAAGATAACTTTTTCAGTTGTAAATTATCTTGATGGCAGGAAGGGCAAAGATTGTAATTTTATCTTCATCTCCCTAATAACTTGTGTTTGGCATGTAGTGTAGACAGTCAGGCGTGCTTGTTGAGCAAGCATAAAAGACAACAGCATCAGGTAATTAAACACAGGGCATGACTGGCTGAACATGAAAATACAGATATACTTTTATCTGACCTTAATGTACTTTCAATAATATCCCTAAGTCCTTTAAAACTAGATCTCCATCATTCTACTGAGGCTACAAGGCAAGCTGTCCTGTAAATGGCAATTTTGTTATCAAATCAGAATAGACATGGGGATCGTGCCTTTAAAAAACCTAATTGTACAAGGAGTTAAAAGGGTAAAAAGGAAGGTATGAAGCTATGTGTACGTCATATGGGTTGGGGAAAGCAGTATGTATAAAATCAACTCATAAAATGTAATAAAGGCCAGGCGCAATGGCAAACACCTATAATCCCAGCACTTTAGGAGGCCAAGGTGGGCAGATCACCTGACGTCAGGAGTTTGAGACCAGCCTGGACAACATGGTGAAACCCCATCTCTATTAAAAATACAAAAACTAGCCAGGCATGGTGGCGCATGCCTGTAGTCCCAGTTACTTCAGAGGCTGAGGCAGGAGAACTGCTTGAGCCAAGAGTGGAGGCTGCAGTGAGCTGAGATGGCACCACTGTACTCCAGCCTGGGTGACAGAGCGAGACTCCGTCTCCAAAAATAAAAAATAAAAATGAAAGTAAAATGTAATAAAATGGTGGAGTACTAGGAATACTTAGAAAAGTACTTATTTCCTTACATCAATGTTGTGTTTGTTATAATAAATTTGAAAAACTCAGAAAAGCACATGAAAAAAAAATTTGCCCCAAATCCCACCACCTACAAAGAGCCGCCATTAACATTTTGACATCTTTGTTCTTGTCTTTTCTCCCTTAGATATATGAATACATTTTTAGAAAACAGAGATCGTATTGTACATACTTTGTTAATAACTTATTTTGTTTCCCCTAAACAACATTATCAGGGATTTTCCCATCTTATTAACTATTATATGGTTTCACTATAATAGTATTAGTGAATAGGTATTAATATTATATATTCTGGCAATATAATTTATTTAACCAACTTCCTAGTTTGGATCATTTATGCTATTTCTAATTTTTCTTATTACAAATAACATGCTAAATATCTTGCATATGAAAATTTTTCTGCTGGCTCACACCTGTAATCCTAGCACTTTGGGCGGCAGAGGCAGGAGGATCCCTTGAGCCTAAGAGTTTGAGACCAACCTAGGCAACATAGTGAGACCTTATCTCCACTAAAGAGAAAAAAAATTAGCCAGTGTAGTGGTGCCTGGCTGTAGACCCAGCTACTTGGGAAGCTGAGGCAGGACGATTGCTTGAGCTTGGGAGACCGAAGCTGTAGTGAGCCAAAATCGCACCACTGCACTCCAGCCTGGATGACAGACCGAGATGCTGCCTCAAAAAAAATAAAAAAAAAAACAAAAAAAGCTTTCTGTCCATTGTTTAAGTGCATATTTAAGGCTTTTTTTTTTTTTTGAGATGGAGTCTCGCTGTGTCACCTAGGCTGGAGTGCAGTGGCGCAATCTCAACTCACTGCAAGCTCTGCCTCCCTGGTTCACACCATTCTCCTGCCTCAGCCTCCCGAGTAGCTGGGACTACAGGCACCCGCCACCATGCCTGGCTAATTTTTTTGTATTTTTAGTAGAGACGGGGTTTCACCATGTTAGCCAGGATGATCTTGATCTCCTGGCCTCATGACCCACCCGCCTCAGCTTCCCAAAGTGCTGGGATTACAGGCATGAGCCACCGCGCCTGGCCAGCATTTTTTTTTTCAAGAACACTATTTATGCCCAAAGCACCCTATAGGAAGATTATGGAGGGTAAATGTGACAACAAAGGGGAATTAAGAATAACTGTGTGATCAAGCTCCCAAGTTTAAAAACCTATAATGTCATTATTAGATCACATCCTACATCTGTTATTGTGAAATTGTATCACACTTACAGTTATAAAAATACATAAGGTTAGAGATTAAGAATTGTGTCATTCTGTACTATAAGTTGACTTATACTATTACTTCTTGACCACATTCATGGACCAAAGACTATAAAACAGCATTGTCAGAGCTCAAAATCTTTTTCTTCATTCTCTGCCCCCAATCCTGAAAGAGATTGAATATACTATTAACTAATCAAGGATTCAAGATATATGACACCAATTCCTATAGAGATCTCAACAAAAGATTCTGATCTTCAGGAAGATGAAAATGACTTAGTAATATTGAATTAGTACTCATAAGTAGTATCAATTATAACATATAATTATCAGTTTGGAATGAAATGATAGGTACTAAAAGTTTTAAGTCTAGATGGAATAAAAATGCAGTTAACTGAATAAAGGGCGAAGATGCAACATTTGAAAATGCTGACTTATTTTACATTATACATTTTACATTATATACCCTTTAGACAGAGGGTACACACGTATACACAAACAAAACAGTAACCACAAACAAAAACAAAATAATACTTTTTAGACAGAGGGTATATAATGGTAAAATTTTTTACTACTGAGAATTATAACTGTTTAAGCTTTTCCTCTCTGTCCATCCATTCACAAGTGACATAATTTGTTGAAGCAGTCCATTTATCAGAATCACCTAAGGAGTTTAAAAAATTTCAGTGCCCACCCCCACATTATGCATACCATACTAATCACGATCTTCAGTATCTTAAAAATTTGTCTGGATAATTCCAATGTGCAAGTCAAGGGTGGAACAATCCTCAATTAAGGAACTCATTCTTTGCAATTAGGTGAAAATCTATTTGAAAGCAACCACAAACACAGGCCAGGAGCAGTAGCTTACACCTGTAATCCCAGGACTTTGGGAGGCTGATGTGGGCAGATCACCTGAGGTCAGGAGTTCCAGACTAGCCTGGACAACACAGCGAAACCCCGTAACTACTAAAAATAAAAGTTAGTCGGGCACGGTGGCACATGCCTATAGTCCCAGCTACTCGGGAGGCTGAGGCAGGAGAATCACTTGAACCCGGGAGGTGGAGGTTGCAGTGAGCTGAGATGGTGCCACTGCATTCCAGCCTGGGTGACAGAGTGAAACTCTGTCTCAAAACAAAACAAAACAAAACATAAAATAAAGTAACCACACACAGGCTGGGCGCAGTGGCTCATGCCTATAATCCTAGCACTTTGGGAGGCCGAGGTGGGCAGACCACCTGAGGTCAGGAGTTTGAGACCAGCCTGGTCAACATTATGAAACCCCATCTCCACTAAAAAATACAAAAATTAGCCTGGCATGGTGATGCATCCCTGTAATCCCAACTACTTGGGAGGCTGAGGCAGGAGAATCACTTGAAATCCAGGAGATAGACAATGCAGTGAGCCACCGCACTCCAACCTGGGCTGTCTCAAAGAAAAAAAAAGTAATCACAAACAATACATGATTGAGATCAATATTATTTCTTTTCTGTATAAAATATCTTGACTTTCCAACCTTTAAACATTTTTGCGTTAGAACCCTACAGTCAGAATAGAGAATCAACTAATTTAAAAGACAATTACGTATGCATTAATAAATTGTGAATAAATTGTGTATTAATTTATATTAAATAATATATTATTTCCAACTTTAGGACAACCACATGTTATACAACTGTTTAAACATAAGGCTAACCACAATAATAACAAAATGGCTTGAAATACTTGGTTGCTGTTTAAATATAGATACTTTAAGACGTTTCTTCTCTATAACTCAAATGTAAGGCTGAAAAGCAAACAGCCTGATATGTTACATAAATATCATATCTGGGACAATAGGAAATTAGAAACTTAACTTCACTATTCATGTAGTTTCTATCTTCTGGTTCTGTAACGACACCTACTGGAGACTGCTGATATTGCTTATAACCCACTTTCTGTACCTGGGATCTTGCCAGGTTCACTTCTTTATATTTACATTTTTGAGACAGGGTCTTGCTCTGTTGCTAAGGCTGGAGTGCAGTGGCGAGATCTTGGCTCACTGCAACCTCTAATTCCCAGTATCAAGCGATCCTACCACCTCAGCCTCCTGAGTAGCTGGGACTACAGTTGCACACCACCATGCACAGTTAATTTTTGTATTTTTGTAGAGAAGGGGTTTTGTCACGTTGCCTAGGCTGCTCTTAACTGTTGGGCTCAAGCAATTTGCCTAACTTGGCCTCCAAAAGTGCTTGGTTACAGGTGTAAGCTACTGTGCCTGGTCATCTACTATTTTTATTCCAAAACAGTTAGAATCCTGTTTGTTCCAAATTTGTTAGAATCCAAACAGAATGATAGGGTTTGCTTTTATCTGTTCTCAATGTTTTTATTAAAACAGAAAAAACCTCCCCTTCCTTGAATATTCATTATTATTATTATAATTTAGGTGGGGATACAAAAACTATGAGCACATTAAAAAATTCATTAAACTTAATAAGAAAGGATCTTCATGAAACTACAATTAGGCAATAAATCTGAAAAGAAAACTTCTCTAGAATAATAAAATCACTTTTTTAAGAGGAAAGGCTGTAAAAAGCATATTTTCTTTTTTGCTTTTCCACTTTAGACCCATCAAAGGTAGTGGAACCATTTAAGAACATCCTTAATTTAAACCCTTTGCTTAAAAGGCCAGCCCTGTTTTATACACAGTAGTTACTGGTATATTAATCCAAATTAATTATTTTAAAGTAATTATATGCTCTATAAAAAGGTAGTTAGAGACTAGTTCAAATTTCATCCTCTCCATGAATCTTTCTTTGAATATTCCAAATCACTGTAATTTTCCTCTTCATTCATTAACAATTCAGTCATATATTCTCTTATCACCATAACCTTATAGTTACAGTATATACAGGAAACACTACAAATACATTTGGAAAAAACATTATCTTTTGAAACTGAAGCTAGTAAAAATCAGTATAAATTTCATTCACTTTTCTACGCAATGAAAGCAAATTATTCTAAGACCTGTTTCAGAGAGGTGTTGGTGATGAAACTAAAATATTTTTCTAAGTCTTCACCAAAGACATCAAGGTAAATTCTCTAACTGGTATCCTCTGGAAGACATAACTGGATAAGAAGATATAATAAAAGCTATGATCTAGTCAAATGCATTGTTGTTGGTCGAGAGACAGGAAATGAATGAATGAATCAGTGTGGATAACAGTGATTTGTAAACTATTATTAGCCACAATAGCCTATGAGAGAGATTCACTTCCCATTTAGTTTTTCCGATAGTAACAGAATTTCCTGGATAGTGGATTTTGATGCCTGAGAAATGTGTATGTCCAGTTACTAATTAAGAAACTATCATTCTCAATGAGGAATTATTATCACCCTTTGGTTTTTCAAAACGAAAGTCCATTTTTGGGGGAGGCCATCTTGTATTTATTAATTTTTCACATACAATAGCATACGATAGAAGTCCCTACATAGTATGAGGTATACAACATGATGTTTTTAATGATGTTTTGCTCATATATACATTGTGAAATAGATTACCACAATCAAGTTAATTAAATATCTATTATCTTTGTGTTATGTGTGTGTGTGTGTGTTCTAAAGCACGGGGTCCCCAACCCCTGGGCCACAGACTGGTACTGGTCCATGGCCTGGCACTGGTCCACAGCAGGAGGTGAGTGGCAGGCAAGCAAGCATTATTATCTGAGCCAAACTCCTGTCAGATCAGCAGCGGCATTAGATTCTCACAGGAGTGTGAACCCTATTATGAACTGTGCATGTGAGGGATCATGTGCACCCCTCACAATGCCTAATAATCTGAGGTGGAACAGTTTTATCCCAAAACCTCTTCCTATCCCTACCCAGTGGACAAATTGTCTTTTGCCGAACTGGTCCCGGGTGCCTAAAAGGTTGGGGACCACTGGTCTGAAGTTCACTTTAAGTGAACTGATAAAAACCATTTAAAATCCCTCCAATTGAAGACAAATCCCTGGACCTATAATGCTTCCAAAAACTTTCCAAGGTAAGAAAGCCTGTGAGACCTAGTCTAAGAAGAAACCTAGTATGTGTCTTTGTAATGACTGCTCATAAATCAATATTCTTATGTCATTATTTTTCATTTGTATTTTCAGCTAGACGATAAGCTAACTGTGGGCAAAGTATTGTATCCACAACAGTTCTAGTGGTTTTAGGCATTTAAATAATTTCTCATTAAATATTAATCAAATGAATAATTAAACAAGAACTTTTATTTCACCTTCACCTGTCATTTATAAGAAATTATTTACGCTAATGAGATCCCTGGCAACATTCTTCTTACCCACCAGTTCTCTATTTTCCATTCACTGAACCATTGAAGATATTTACCTTTGAGTTTCTCCCACATGAGCGCATACAACCCCAAAGAGCTTGGCTGCAGAACTAATAACTGATAGTGCTGGAGGCAGGGGCTTAGGCACTGAATCTCCCTCTACATCTTTCTCATAAATCAAATAAGGGTCATATTCAAGACTTCCGCAAGCAACACCATTACCAAGCAGGAGCTAAAAGGGAAAAAAAGTATATAAGGTTTTAAGATCACTGTTCACAGATTGAATCTACTCAAGAGTAAAAAATGGCCATACCTGTTCTTCAATAAATCTATGGTCAGTCTCTTGTAACAAAGGACTTAATATCAAAAGATCATCCTGATGACAGAGGGGTGGAAGTAAAAATGTAGATGCTGACACCTGAATATCAGGGGCAGTCAAGTCAGCAGCCAGCTCTTTGAGGATAGCACAGAGGTTTCCTGTTGAGTCAAAGAAAAAGAGCAATTAGTACTATTGGTTATCTGGTGAGAGTATGGGGTTTAAAACTCAGGTTGAGCTTTAATGCACCCACTGGCCAACTTTAACATATCACAGCCGAAGATTTTATTTCTCATTCTTGAAAACTGCCCTAGAAATGACTGGCTCAACTATGTGTTGCTAGTCACAAGGTTAAGAATTGATACTAAAAGAAAATCTCAAAGTATGTGTGTATGTGTGTGTGTGTGTGTACATACCTGATGGTATAAAAATGACATGAAATATAAAAATAGATGTAAAAATAGATTTACAAAAGCAGGTTTGTTTTTTAAAAAAGCACAGTCTGAAAAAATTTATAAGAATTAGCCTGAGACCGGGCATGGTGGCTCACACCTGTAATCCTAGCACTTTGGGAGATGAAGGTAGGGGGATCACTTGAGGTCAGGAGTTCAAGACCAGCCTGGCCAAACATGGCAAAACCCCATCTCTACTAAAAACACAAAAATTAGCTGGGCATGGTGGCGGGTGCCTGTAATCCCAGCTACTCAGAGGCTGAGGCAGGAGAATCGGTTGAATCCGGGAGGCAGAGGTTGCAGTGAGCAGAAATCAGCCACCGCACTCTAGCCTGGGCAACCGAATGAGAGTCCACCTCAAGCAAAAAAAAAAAAAAGAAAAAAGAAAAAAAGAAAAAAAGAATTAGCCTGAAAAAACGTAGACATGTTATTGTGGAAAATTTCAAACATAAATAAATTATAGTACTATGATGATGCCTGCCCCTACCCCTTCCAGCATACGCTCATTATTCACCTTTACCGGCTGCAACAGTATTATTTCACCTACATCCCCATTCCTGATCCCACATTCCTCCACATTATTTTTAAGAAAACCCTAGGCAACACATCATTTCATTCATAAATATTTCATTGTGTATCATTAAAGTGAAACACATTTTATTTTGAACAAAATCCTGCTATATAATCTCATGTTGTTTTAAAAAAAAAACAAACCACTGAACATCAGATACCCATTCAGTATTCAAATTTCCAACTATCTCAAAAACACCTGTTTTTGTTGCTTCTAGATCTAGGTAAAGTGTACACATTGCAGCTAGTTTATCTTGTCTCTTTCAATTTAGTATTCTCCCTATACTTTTCCCCTCTCTGGCAATTTATTTGAAGAAACAAGGTTATTTGTTTCGTACAATTTTCTACAGTCTGAGTTTTTATGATTATAGGCCCCTGGTATAGGTTAATTTGTTCTTCTATCTGTACTTTTTTAAAAAAATAAATTGGTAGTTGGATCTAGAAGGGGCTCATTTTTGTTTTTGGTGGTGGGCAGGGTGGGTGCAGGTTAGTTCATAAGTGGTATTGTGTTCTCCCATAACACAAGAGACAACATATGGTTGCCTCTCTAACATATACACTTTGAAAAGCTGATCCATTTATCACATTGACTGCAATTATGACCTCAAAGATGTTTTATCCTAATTTCTGCTGGGTTATCAAAAAATCTTATCCACAGAGAGCTTAAATGGTTTTTGCCAGTTTGTAACTTAAGTACTGCAGGAATGAGTAAAAATTCCCTTAGAAAAATGTTTACACTCTTCGAAGTGTTTCTTCGAACAATTGCATCAGGATGAAATGAGGACTGGGGTGACATCCACCGATCAGAAGCGGTAGGATGAGTTAGGAAGGGTTTACTTGCCATCACTTTCTGTATCATTAGCAGCAGTAACAGTGGTAACAACAAATATTTATTGAAGTTTACTTTTTGTTTTTTAACAGATGGGGTCTCACAATATTGCCCAGGCTAATCTCTAAATCCAAGCCTAAGTGATCCTCCTGTCTCAGCCTCCTGAATAGCTGAGATTACACCCAGTGCTTGGCTTACTGAATACTTAATATGTGTTGGGAAAGGTACTAAAAGCTTTACCTATAACCCTCATAGTAACCTAATAACGTCAGGTTAGTATGTTGTTTCACAGGTAAGGAAACAGGAACAGGGAATTTATTACTTGCCAGAGATCATATGGTGATCACACAGCTATCAGACCGAAACCCAGTTAACTGGGCTCCAGAATTTGAGCTTTTAACCACTGTGCTGAATCACTCATCCATCCAGATTGTGTTTAATAAGCTACAGAGAAAGATTTTATTATATTTAATCTTCCTTTCAAGAAAGTATACACTATGGGATACCAATACATACATATAACTATAATAGGAAGGTAGGAACTATTATGTTTCATAAAAGATAAAAACAAAAGCACTATTAAATTTAGGGAAAGGAGAGATTACATACAGGAATTAGGAAGAGTGGACAGGGATCAATGAAGTCATAAAGATTGAGCAAATGAGAGTTGCTCAAAGGAATGTCTAAGTTTATGTATATGACACTCAGCAAAATAATTCTGTTGGTAGTACAATATACAAGGTATGTTTGTTCCTACAGCTATGTGTGAAAATAGTAGAAAATCTCTACTTCTCAGTTAAAAGTGATTACTTTCCCAACTGTCCCTGGAAAAAGTACCTAAAGATAATTAAGATAATTTTGAAATGCAAATAAGCTTTTGTATAAAAATGCATGACTAACTTGCTGATGAGTTATTTTCAGTGTAGAGAATATTAAGATATTTGAAAAGAAATCCATACCTAAACTAAGACAGGAAATAAAAACTAAGAACTCAATTTTTACTCCAATCCTTCAGAAAACTAAGTCACTCTAAGACTCTAAATCTACATCTGCTGGACAGTCATGAAGAAAAGTTGTTTCAATTCTTAGATACATTCCACGTGGCAAAAGCAATTTCTTATTATGTCCTAGACACTGACTCTTTGACAACACATTGGAGGAACTGATAATATCAGAACTTTATTTATTTATTTAGAGACAGAATCTCTGCCACTCAGGCTAGAGTGCAGTGATGTGATCTTGGCTGACTGCAACCTTTGCCTACTGGGTTCAAAGGATTCTCCCGCCTCAGCCTCCTGAGTAGTTGGGACTATAGGCATGTGCCACCATGCCCAGCTAATTATTTTGTGTATTTTTAGTAGAGACGGGATTTCATCATGTTGGCCAGGCTGGTCTCGAATTCCTGACCTCAAATGATCCGTTTGCCTCAGCCTCCCAATGAGCTGGATTATAGGTGTGAGCGAATGTACCTGGCCTAGAGTTTGTTTTTTCCAGAAGTTCACAGCAAGTCCTGACTTTGTCTCCTAATGAACACTCTGGAACTGATTTGAAATATATATACATGTATATTCATTATTCCTTTAGGACTCCTGATTGCATTTCCAAACTCCAACTCTGAGAAAATCCAAGTTTAAAAAAAAAAAAAAAAAAAGTAGAAGACTTCAAGACTTTTTCCTCTAATTCAAGTTTTTTCAAGGGTAAGACTTACATCATCAGGCCAGGCCCAGTGGCTCATGCCTGTAACCCCAACACTTTGAGAGGCCGAGGCGGGAGGATCACTTAAGCCCAGAAATTTAAGAACAACCTGGGCAGCATAGCAAAACCTCATCTCTACAAAGGATTTAAAAAAAAAAAAACACACAAAACTAGCTGGGGGTGGTGGTGCACACCTGCAGTCCCAGCTACTTGGGAGGCTGAGGTGGGAGGATCACTTGAGCCTGGGAGGTCGAGGCTGCAGCGAGCCAAGATCACACAACTGCACTCTAGCCTGGGTGGCTGAGTGAGGCCCTGTCTCCAAAAAAAAAAAAAAAAAAAAAGCTTCCATTATTATTTATCAGAAGATACACTGTACATTTTAAGTCAAGATTCTTGTATTCCTAAATGCTTATTGAAGAGTTGAGCAGCAGTCCTTTTGGCTGGGCACAGTGGCTCATGCCTGCAATCCCAGAACTTCAGGAGGCCAAGGAGGGTGAATCACCTGAGGTCAGGAGTTCACACCGGTAATCCTAGCGCTTTGGGAGGCTGAGGAGGGTGGCTCATCTGAGGTAAGGAGTGCGAGACCAGCCTGGCCAACGTGGTGAAACCCCGTCTCTATTAAAAATACAAAAAAATTAGCCAGGCTTGGTAGTGCATGCCTGTAGTCCCAGCTACTCAGGAGCCTGAGGCAGGAGAATCGCTTGAACACAGGAGGCAGAGGTTTCAGTGAGCCGAGATCACGCCACTGCACTCCAGCTTGGGCGACAGAGCAAGATGCCGTCTCAAAAAAAAAATTTTTTTATTTTAGTCTGAAAATAAATTTCAAGATACTATTGCAAAAATATGAAGGAAATTGCTTTTGTCACAACCTAACAGTTATCTGAGCTGCGGAACATAGAAATTATCTCTCAGCTTTTTACTAGATATCTAGCAAGTAACTTTTAAATTGATAGATGGCAAAGAATAAGATAGACATATCACTAAGCTATGATTGTTAAGTCTCTAAGTAGGTTACTTAGAAAAGGCAGCAGCACAGCATGAGGTAAATTTATGTTTTAATCTTGATTCCACTCTTTACCTGATACGTGTTCGTGAGTTGGTTTTGTAACCTAAACCTTTTGCCAAATAAGAAAAATGTAACTCGCTCACTGTATCATCCTAGGACAAATGAGATTTGATAGATACAATTTCTAACACAGTGCCTGGCCTTAAGAAGGAGTTCTTTTTTTTTTTTTGAGATGGAGTCTCGCTCTGTCGCCCAGGCTGGAGTGCAGTGGCCGGACCTCAGCTCACTGCAAGCTCCGCCTCCCGGGTTCACGCCATTCTCCTGCCTCAGCCTCCCGAGCAGCTGGGACTACAGGCGCCCGCCACCTCGCTCGGCTAGTTTTTTTGGTATTTTTTAGTAGAGATGGGGTTTCACCGGGTTAGCCAGGATGGTCTCGATCTCCTGACCTCATGATCCGCCCGCCTCGGCCTCCCAAAGTGCTGGGATTACAGGCTTGAGCCACCGCGCCCGGCCTGTTTTGTTTTTTTTTTTTAACTTATTTTAGGCTGGGCTAAATAGCTCACACCTGTAATCCCAGCACTTTGGGAGGCCAAGGCGGGAGAATTGCTTGAGCCCAGGAGTTTGAGACCAGCTTGGGCAACATGGCGAAACCCCGTCTCTACCAAAAATACAAAAAATTAGCTGGGTATGGTGGTGTGCCTGTAGGCCCAGCTACCCAGGAGGCTGAGGCTGGAGGGTCATTTGAGCCCAAGATCAAGGCTGAAGTGAGTCATGATTGCGTACCACTGCACACCAGCTTGGGTGAGAGAGTGAGATCCTGTCTCAAAAAAATTAAAACAAAAACAAAACCCCAAATGTATTTCTTTACTATAAGATGGTGAACACAGGGATTAGGACTGAACTCCCTAAACCTCCTAGAAACAAGGCACTAAATAACTGCCATTATAATTCATTTAAATATTTAATGAGTGACAGTAATGTTCCAGGAACCATATTAGTCACAAATAAAACATTTTAGTCTAAGGCACATACCTTCATAGGTCTCAGGAGGTAATAAAATCAACAGTTCATAAAGTCTTTGTCTATAAACCACTGATGGTGTTTTCAAAGGACTTCCATACATTTTTAGTATTGAAGAAAGCCTTAAAAGAAAAAGCGTATCTTAAGTGGTTGTTATATAACAATACACAAAAATTGACAGCTTAACATCTTAACATATAAATTAGTTATGTAACTTACTAACAAACATTAGTGCTGCTTTACTTTTCTTTTACGAGACAGGGTCCAGCTCTGTAGCCCAGACTGGGATGCAGTGGCATGGTCTTGGCTCACTGCAACCTCTGTCTTCTGGGCTCAAACCACCCTCCCACTTCAGATTCCTGAGTAGCTGGAAACTACAGGGTTGCACCACCATGCCTGGCTAATTTTATTTTGTATTTTTGGTACAGACGGGTTTTGCCATGTTGCCCAGGCTGGTTTCAAACTCCTGGGCTCAAGCAATCCTCCCACCTCGGCCTCCCAAAGTGCTAGGATTACAGGCCCAAGCCACCACACCTGGCCACAAAATATGATCTTTCTTCACACTCTCTCCTTTCATTTTCATGTACTCTTCTTTATCTTCTATTCACCTTTCCTATTGGTGTTAAGACATTACTTTACCAATGCTCATTCATTCAACAAATATTTGCTAAAGGACTACTACTGTTTTTTGTTTGTTTGTTTTGTTTTGAAATGCAGTCTCACTCTGTTACCCAGGCTGGAGTGGTAGTGGTAAGATCTCGGTTCACTGCAACCTCCGCCTCCTGGGTTCAAGCAATTCTTCTGCCTCAGCCTCCCAAGTAGCTGGGACTATAGGCATGCGCCACCATGCCCAGCTAATTTTTGTATTATTAGTAGAGACGGGGTTTCTCCATATTGGCCAGGGTGGTCTTCAACTCCTGACCTCGTGATCCACCCACGTCGGCCTCCCAAAGTGCTGGGATTACAGGTGTGAGCCACCACACCTGGCCAGGAATACTACTCTTAACAAGCTATGTTATCAACTAGAGTATGGTTTTCATCCTTAGCTATACAGAAGTTCAATGAAATTACTTTTATTATGTCACTGGAATAAATCTGCTAAACTGTTATGGCATGAGCTTTCTAGGTTCTCTAAGAAATTCTCACAATGTTGAGTCATTTGTACTTTCTTTTTTTTTGTTATTTTGCTTTCTGAGACGAAGTCTTGCTCTGTCGTCCAGGCTGGAGTGCAGTGGCGCGATCTAGGCTCACTGCAACCTCCGCCTCCTGGGTTCAAG